CTTAAGTCCGTAGTGTTACTTAGCTCTAAAACGTTCGTCTGGGTCTTATTTTGTCACCAACAGTGGCAGGTGATTCAAATGACAGTCCTCCGCTAGACTGACCGGCGCAGCGGTGACCGGCCCCGCGCGAGTGGGGCAACTCCGGGCGGAACCACTGGGCGCTCTGCACCGGGAGCTCGCTCTGGGAACCCTGCTGGGAAGCAGAACAAACGCTCACGTGACCACACCACGTGTCTGTGCGGGTCTGACTCACGCTCCAACCTGTTTATTTGGGGAGTTATCGATGCTACAGAATGCAGCAGGACCGCTTACTATTTCTGCCGTCTGGGCTTGCCTGGGGCTCGTCATCACGTCACTTAATACCGTGGTGGATAGACGTGGAAGATGGTTTAGATACAGAGTGTCGCCTTTTAGGGAAAATGACCGCCAGGCAGGAGTTGGACCGAGCCCTGCCAGAAAGCAGCCACGTGATTGTGGGAAGAAACTGATCCCCCTTGGGCCTCAGTTTCTTCAAAAGAACAGGAGCTGGTCTCACTTAACAACTCTCTAAAGCAGTGGTCCTGAACCTTTTTGACCCTAGGAACCGGTTTTGTGAAAGATAATTTTTTCACCAATGGTGGGTGGGGAGGCAGAGGGCAGGGAGGTGGATGGTTTGGGGATGATTCAAACACATTACATTCAAGCTCACCAGCTGTACAGCCTGGTTCCTAACAGGCCCGGACGGGTACTGGTCCTCTGCCCAGAGGTTGGGGACCCCTGCTCTAAAGTGTTTTCCAGTTTGAAAATTCAGTGTCCAGGCCCGGGTAGTTTACCATCCAGGCCAAGAGGATTGCAGTGAAAGAAGGCAGGGCCCCTAGTGGCAGCCTTGGTCTTGACCTCATTCCTTGTTGTGACCTGAAATCCTGCCTTAGAGTGTACAGCAAAGCAGTGATCAGAGAGGCTGCTGGGAAGGTGGGCTGAGCTCCCCACCATCCAGAGAATTCTTATTTATCACACGCGTAGACTGTGTGCCCGGCATTATTCTAAGTGCTTCAGAAACATTAACTCACTTCATCTTCAGGCAGTCCTGGCAGAAAAGTCCTGTGGTCACGCACATTTAACAGACAAGGAGACTGAGACCCAGAGAGGCTAAGTAACTTGCCCAGGGGTTCGCAGCTGGAGAGCTAGTGAAAGGCTGAGCCGGGACTGGACACCAGGATATCTGATCCCACAGACTGCCCTCCGGAGGGAAAGACCTCTGCTCCACCTAGTTATCATGCTTTTGTGCCCACAGATGGCCCAGGGGACAAATGAGGCCACCCACAAGCAGAAAAGAATTACAACAGGCCCTTAGGAAAAGGCTTCAACTTCCAGGAAAGCCCCATGGCTGCTACTGCCAGGAATTTAAAGGAGGAGGGTAGACACAGCCAGCTCTTGGGACCACCCTTTTGGGAGATTGGGAAGCTGCTAGGCGACCCTGGAGCAGCTAGGGATTCCTGGTACCTGCAGGGGCCTACAGCTGGGCAAGAGCAGAGGGCCAGATGGATATTATATGTGTTATGTGGACACTTGGAGGTGGGAGGTGGGGATGGGTGAAGGGGTGGCAGCCTTGGGGGTGGTACAAAGCCTGACTTGAGATCCGTTCCTGCACCCCAACATGGATCAGTGGAATACCTGCTACTTCTGAGCACCACCCAGTGAGTCAGGGTGAATGGGCAGAAAAGGAAACACAGGTACAAATGTGTGCTAATTAAACGATTTCTGCTTCTAAGTGTGTTCTTCTCTCCTGCACCGCCCCCCTCCCCCAGCAGGATTTCCAGAGTCTCATATCTGTGTGATTTTAACTGTGCTGGGCACTTCAAGGGCAGGGATGAAGCTTTACTCATCTCTGTCTTCTCAGCGGGTGACACTGTTTGCTGAATGAAGAAATAATACAGCTCAGGCCAGATGACGTCTTTAGTGTGCACTGGAAACCACCTGGAACTGTATGTCAACTATTAATTGGGATTTCAAGGGAACACAGACATGTTCCTAAGGAAACGTTTTTGCTAATTTTTAAAAGGATGACTTGGCAAGCTAATCATTTTTAATAATTATGTCTGGAGCTCAAAGAACTCTTTATCTGTAATTTACTCCCTGGATATTTGGTATTTAAATATAACACGCGTGTATCCTGGGCAGTGTCCCCCTTCCCCTTGTCCAGAGGCCTCTCTCTTTCTTAAAGGAAGAGAGACTGCGGCATCGGATCATTTCATCCTGGGTGGCTCCTGTTAATTTCCTTCTAACGCCTTCGACTTTTGATCTTGAAGCACAGGGGCTGTACTTTTATTAGGTTTAATTTACTGTGAAGTTCGGCACTCCTTGTGAATGAATCAAGCCATAATCGTCAATGAGTAATCACAGGCTTCAGCCGGGCCAAGGTCTTGGTTCAGCTGAGTAACTAGGAAACATCTAATAGCAGGAAGGTAAAAATGGTAGGAAGCCTGATATCGCCCCAGAACTAGGATAAGCCATTTTATCATGACTGTGCGACCACCCAGGCACACAGGGGGCTTGGCCACAGTGCAGGACCCAGGCCAAGGGCGCGGCCTGGATGAGCCCAGGCCTCCTCAGAAAGGAAGTCAGGGAGTGACAAGGAAGGGCCTGGGTGGGAGTCCCGGGTCCAAGCTGGCTTCTGACTAAAGCTCCCTCCCCTGCACCTCTTCCAGCTCTGGCATCTGTGCTCTGGCCACATCATTTTCTTTTTTTTAATCCTCACCTGAGGACATATTTACTGGTTTTGGAGAGGCTGGGCGGGGGCGAGGAGAGAGAGAGAGGGAAAAAAAAAACATCAATGCAAGAGAGAAACATTGGTTCGCTGCCTCTCATGGGCACCAGGACTAGAGACCAAACCTACAACCTAGGCATGTGCCCTGAACAGGAATTGAACCTGTAACCTTTTGGTTTACGGGACAACACTCCAACCAACCGAGAGGCACACCTGCTAGGGCTGGCCAGAGCATTTTCAATTGGGTTTCACACACCACTGAGTGGGTAGGAATGATGGTTTCTTGTGCATATGGTATTTTTTTTCAAAGGGTCCCTTTCATAAGATGCTTTCGGAGGGGAGCTTGGAAAAAGAAACTGAATAGCTATGTCATTCTGAGCCTCTCTACCATGTGCTCAACACTGGTAAATTATTGACCTATTTGGTTTTAAGTCAATTGTTCATCTCAGCCTGATGATAAAGTTTCCAGAATCACCTTTTCTTCTACAGAGGAGAGAAGGAGCCCATGGTTTAATGAGTTACAGCAGAAGGAACATCGACTGTCAGGAAGGGACTGCCTGCAAACCGCAGAGCTCCCTTTCAGATACTTTTCTGCTCAGATATGTCGGAAGTGACCCAATGTAAGCCAAATGCCCCCGCCGCCCACCTCAGCCGGCACCAGCCCCTTGGGGAGAAATGATGTTTTCCCAAGGAGTCGCTGGACTTCAGTGACTCAGCCCCGAGCATCCCACACTAAATCCCCATGGGTGCTGGAGAAGGTGCGATGGTCAGGCAGTCCCATTTTGAGCAAATGAACTTGACCCCATGGCTGTGGGCACCCAGCTTCTCAGACACTATCGAGGGCTGTTGTGGGTAGCCTGGAGGGGAAATCCTCTGTTAGATAAAACTGCAGCCCAGAGGAGTCTGTCTTTTCTGCTATAGTTAAAAAGTAGCAGACTCTTCATGTCTCCATGGTAACCAACTATGGATCTGGGTTCCGTTTATGGTAGTCTTTGCTGACCTATCTATGGCTTGTGACTGGGGGCCTGAATATATCAGAATGAATTCTGTGTCCTGGAAATATCAGCGCTGGTTGTACTGGGTCGTTCTAGCCCTGCAGACTCCGCCGTTGACCTGTGCAATGATGATACCTGGCCACCCTCAGGCACCTGGAAACATTAAGGTACCAGTGGTATCTCAATTATCCGAGTAACTCTGGATTTAGGGTTGCCATGGAAACCTGGAGCAGTGGTAACAGAGAAGGGAGGCAGTTCCTCCGGTTTCACAGCACCGGGCCCCTGAGATGTGCCAATTTTTAGTCCCATGGCCTTGCTTAAGCTGGGCTATTTTATTTTCTACCCACCTTCAGGAACCTGTATTTTCCTCCAAAATACTGAGACTCTGACGTGAATTTGCATAGGGAGCGCACACACACTTCTAGCCACCGACTCAAGTACTTTCTACTAAAAGTGGAAACTTGGCAGAATGTGGGCAATGGTTTTGACCGTGGGTGGTAATTACACGTTTTATGACCCGGCAAGTTATTTACCCTAAGGTTCAATTCCCTCATATTTAAAGTGGGAACAAGAAGGCCTTGAAGATGAACTGTGCGCGCCTTAGTGGAGCTCAGGTTGGTTACAGCTGAGGCATCGCTCAACTCTAGGGGGCGCCAGCCACATGGAGCCTGTGGGAACGGGGCTGCCTGGAGTAGGGTGGACTCAGCCCCCCAGCAAATGGCCCGGTTCGCTGGTGTATCATCTCATTCACAGTCTTTTCACAATAAGAATGATAAGAAATCAAAGATCTAAGATGTCCCAGAATGGGGCCTCTAATTACCCAAGCCCTCCGGCCCCTCGGGGCCTCCGGCACCCCATATTTGACGTTAAAGCCTCGCGACTTGGAGAGGCTCTGCCTGAGCTCCCGCGCGCACGCTTGCGCGAGGCCACCGTGCTCTTGGCACAGCCAGGGAGTGACGGAGGCCGGCGGCCGCGGGGCGCAGCAAAGTCCGGGCTGGAAAAAGCCGGCTCCGCCCCTACCCCACCCCCCGTTGCCATCCCCCTTCTTCCTCCCGTCCCTCGCCTCCTCTTCTCCTCCCCCCCCATCCTTATTCCCTCCCCTTCTCTCTCTCTCCTCCCCTCTCGATGCCACTCCTCCCGTCCCCTGTTGTCTCCCCTCCCTCCGCCCCCCTCTCCGCGATACTGAAGAGCTCGTTGCGAAGGGACCGGGCGGGTTACTTCCTCCAGCGGCGGTGCGGAGCGCAGTGTAGCCGCAACCCCGAGCTCTCAGAGCCTCCCGTACGTCTGCTCGACTGCCCGCCCGCCCGCCTGCCTGCCTGCCCGCCTGCCCCTGCCCCGGCCCCGGCCTCCCGGAGCGCTCCATCCGCGCCTCGGCCCCGGCCCCGCTGCGATCGCACCCAGAATCCCGGGCCCGAGCGGCTGCTGCCAGACCGCGCGCCGGCCCTGCCAGAAGCGGCGCGGTAAGAGCTGGGTCCGGGGTGGGCGGGCCGGCCCGGCGCGGGCCGTGGGGTCCGTAGACAGCGCCCTCCCGCGCCCGCTCCTCTCCCCGGGGACCTAGAAGCCCCGCTGGGGACCTGAGTAAGGCTGAGGTCCGTACCGCCGGTGGCTACTCCTAGGATTCGGGGGTCGCGCCTCTGGGTTCCGTGCCTCTCCGGGCTCGTGTTGCGGGTGGCCGGGTGGCTTTGAGAGCGGTCGGGACGCGGGCCCCACGGTAGGGCGCGAGATGGGCCGGTTGTGACGGGAGGAGCGGGCTGCGAACTTGGGCCGCGGCCCCCATGGTCGCCGAGCGGGCTTGGGCGGGTGTGCGCGCCGGCTTGTTTCGCTTGTTATTGTTTTTAAAAGGAATGTCGAGGGCCTGGTGGGGGTTCCTGTCTTCGGACACGCGGGGGAACCCGATTTCGCAAAGGGGCCGGGGGTACGCAGGAGAGGGTGTTGGAGGGGGCTCCAGGGTACCCGGGTTTGCGGGTGACTTACCGGAGCGCGCCGGGCCAGGAGGAGCGTGCAAATACCTGGGAGACTGCGGCTCCCCGAAAACATTGGGCCCCTGGTCACCTGCTCCGGCCATGTCCAGGGAGGGCCCGGGGCGGCCCGCGCGTCCTGCCTCTAGGACGAGACCCGCGCTGGCGCCCACGAGTGGATCAGGGCCCCTGCAAGTCCAGCAGCGGGATCCTGTGGGAAATGGGGAGGTGGGTGTGAAGGGCTGCTTTTATTTTCTTGCTCTTTAAGCATTTTTAATGAAGGGCTATCAGTGAGCGTTTGTGCATTGAGGTATTTTTTTTTAAAGCACAGGAGACTTTTTATATTGGTCTGTATTCAGTTTCAAGGTAGCTTAAAATAGTAGTTGACGTGCTACTTACTTAGAAAGTAAAGAAGTGAGCAGTCCCCTGTGGAGATAAGGGTAATTTATTTTAATTCACCACTGAGAGACTATGTTTGTTCCGGACAATGGAAGCGCCCGTGCGCCATCTGCCTGCCCACACCACCACCCATCAGGGAGATAAATCTCCGAGTTAAGGTTTATTAAAATTCTGAGTAATATCATAGTACAGTAAATGTTAGCACCGGCAGTTCTGCAGGGAAATATCAAACACTCATTGTTGGGATTAGTCATTCCTCTGGCTGAAGCGATAACTTTCAAAGGGAAAAAGCACACCAACCTTCAAAAAGTATGTTGGGCAGTGGGGGCACCTGTCGTTTTCAACTTTCTTTCTTCCCCCCATTTACCTAAATACAAACCTATAGTCTAATCTCACATAAGCGATAGCTTTTTCCATGAAGGCTATGACTGTTTAAAAGTTTAACCATCCTCAGCACTTAGATTTCTGCCATTTTCCTTTTTTATTCTATTTTTTAAAATTTGTCCACAAGCAGCAATCCAAAGGTCAACACTAACGGACCCAAATTTAAAACTGATTTACATGGAGAAACTTGGCCTGTCTGCCACCTCAAAGAGCCATGTTGAGTCCAATAAGTGAATGAGCTCAAATCCGATTAGTTCTGTGTCTGCCTGAAGCCACTTTGATTCTGCATAGTTCTTACAACACAAATTAAAAGCCAGACAACAGAAGAATTCTCTTCTGTAGTAATTACCACTCTATGTGGGAGTGGTAGGCTGCCTTTTCTCCCAAGTATTTGTACACAGACCCCCTCCAGCCCCCTCCCCACCTCCATGAAGCTTTTCCATCGCTTGCCACACCCATTCTCTATCTCTGTGAAGGTGGGACATTAGTCTCCATTCTCCAAGTCACCAGGCGTCTGCAAACCAGATGTGGAAAAGGAGGCGGGCTCAGCATTTTGGTCTTCAAGTTTGAGGCTCGTGTATTTAATCCACAGGTTAGCAGGACTTGGTCCACTCAGATACGTGATAGGAAGCTCCGAGCTAAAGGAGCACCTCACACTGGCAGGGGCCCCGGTCTGAGGTCTGCGGGGTGCAGCCGGACAAGGCCCAGGCCCCACCAGGTTGTCCTGGCACACAGGGGTGCTCAGGTCTGAGCCACCCTCCACGGCCCTGTGGTCTGCGCTGTGCCCCTTAAAAGCCCTGGTAGTAGCCGTGTGACCCTGGACAGGTTCCTGGAGGTCTCTGGGCCTCACCCGGGCACATTGACTTCTCAGGGATGTCTGGGAGATTCGGTGAGGTGGGCAGGGACGGTCCCCAGCTCAGACTCAGCCCTCAGGGAGGAGGAATCTATCACGGCAGCCATCATCAGTAGTGAAAGCTGATTCTTGAGTGCCTCGAGTGGCCCACAAAGTGGAGATTCTGAGCAGAAGTGGCCACTTTTGGTCCAGGACAAGCCCCGACTCTCCCCTACCCTCCCTGAGTAGCTCTATCACTTAACCCCAGCAACCCCAGCCTCCCTGGCCGCCAGGGCAGTTACCTGCACTCTGAGGGTTTTAACTGCTCTGAGCAGCGCCTCTGGTCTCCCGGAGATAGACACTCACCACCCCCCTGCCTTTGGTGGGGGAGGGGCAGGGGAGTGTGTGTGCAAGTACTTGTGCATGTGTGCACGTGCGCATTCATGTGTTGAGTTGTTGGGAGAGTTCAGTTTAGCCATAAGATTGATCATGAAGGAAAATCAAGAAAGCACCAAGAAACCCAATTAGTTACAGCAAAATGTGCTATTGGCCACCTGCAGTGAGCACTGTCGATTGCACAATATTTTAATTACCTGAAGGTCTTAGTTGCAACAGGTGGGAGCACCCAGTGGAGATGGGGGGACAGTTAGCAGAAGTTGCCTTATGGGCCTTCAGTTCCGCGGCCAGGAACTAACCCAGGTAATTTGAAAACGGGTTCTAGTTTCTCTCGTCTTTTATCTAACACTGGTGGCCTTATCTAGGTACCTGTCTCACTTATTAATATGTAATTTACCTGGCAGAGCAATTATGTTTTAAGGCCCTGAATAAGTTCTTGGTCTGGTACAGCATGGCCCAATTGCAAGCCAAATATGTAACTATAAATTTTCTAATAGCCATGTTAAATATATAAAGTAGGTGAGCTTCATTTCAGCATATTTCCATTCACCAGATATATCCAACATGTTATATAAACATGCAGTAAACATAATGTTGTTACTGAGATTTTTTACTTCTTTCTGCGAGATCTTTGAAATCGCATGTGTGTGTGTTACCTGCATCCCAGCTGGGTGCCAGGCACTCGGCAGCCACACGTGGCTGATGGCCACCCTGTCCAGCAGCGCAGGTCTCGGGTCTCGTGCAAGCTGAAATGCTATCAGAGCAAGCCAGGCAGACCTGTGATTGGAGTCGCCTCTTGAGGACATGCACAGCTGTGCGACACAAAGCAGCCGTGTTTGGAGCCACACGGGACCAGGAAGAGGGTTCGGTCAGAAGCAGTGGTCCTCCCTCTGATCTTCCTGGGCTGGGAGCTCCTCCAGTGCAGACAGGGGGGCACCTCGGGGCTCCTGTGCCTGCTTCCGGGATCTGGAGCTGCCTGCAGCTGCCTGGGGTGGGCCCTCTTCAGTGCCCCTGAGGCTCCTGGGCGGAGCTGCTGCCCCCTGGCAGACGGGAGGTGGCACCTCCCCAGGCCCTTCAATCTCCAGTCACAGAAACACACAGGCTGCCCTGGGAGGCTCTGAGCAGCCACAGAAAGTGATTTGGTCTAAGTGGAATTCCGTGGGGACCAGCGCATTATTACTTAACTCCTTACATTGCAGAGCCTTTGTGAGAAGGACTTTTAAATAAGAATTCCTTAGCTCTTGCTGCTTCTAGGATTCTCTCTTTCATTTTAAGCATAGACGGTAGGTAGAAAATAGATAGGGGGAGGGCAAGAATAGTATGGGAAATACAGAATCCAAAGAACTTGAGACACATGGTCATAAACTAAAGGGGGGAATGGTAGGGGTGGGGGGTGCAGGGTGGAGGGGAATGAAGGGGGGAATAGAACAACTGTAATGGCATATTCAATAAAATAAAAATTAAAAAAAAAAAGAATTCGTGGCGTTTTGGTTCTGAATGAGCGTTGATGGTTAGAATTTGACAGCCTCCTCAGAATTCGGTGTCTGTGTAGCCGGACAGCCCATGAAGATGCCTTAGAAATGTAATACTTGACTTGTTGCCTCTGACTCTTTATTTTCCTCTTCCTTTTTTTTCTTTAAGATGAATGATTTTGGAATCAAGAACATGGACCAGGTGGCCCCTGTGTCTAACAGTTACAGAGGGACACTCAAGGTGAGTGAGCGAAGTCCCAGTGAAAAGTTCTTTTCATGCTATTTGGAAAGCTCAATCTCGAGGAGGAAAACGAAACAGAGTAAAACTGGCTGGGCTGGGTCCCAGACAATGGGTTCTAGCCCCAGTTTTTAATTCACTGGCTATGTGTGACTCTGGGCTGTTTGCTTAATCTGTCTGGGTCTCAGTTTTCTAGTCTGTAAAATGGGCATCCTGATACTTATTCTATTTGTCCTCCAGGATACAAACCCCATGTAATTTGTAGGAGTCGAGGCTTCGGTGGTTTGTCTCTGAGACCCCCTACTAGGTGAGAGGCCTGTGGTTCTTAGTCGGACAGAGCAGGAGTTTCCTCGGACCATGGGAGGGCTGTTTCAGAAGTGAAGTGGAATTGTCTAGGAGAGGCAAGTGGGCCCCACCGCTGCTTCCGCCGACCTGGCCAAGCCCACGGGGCAGCTGTGTGCATGGGAGCCAGAAACCCAATGAACGATGAAAGGCGCTTCTGCCCCACACACAGGTCGTGGAGCTGCTATCTTAATTCTCCGTGGGAACATTCTGCCGTGACACAAACAGATAATGTCCCCGTTTGTGTTCTCCTTGTTTTTAGCTTTGTGTAGTAAACATATCTCAGAAGCAGTGGTCGTAGGTGAGCCTCCTCTGAGTCTGGCAGGCTGTATTTTACCCTGGAGACCACTGTGAGGTTTTTGTCTGATAGGACCCAGAGAGCCAGAAGATGGGCTCAGACCTTTCCCCAGGATTATGCAGGTCGTCCATCTTTGGGCTAGGGGGCTTTCTTGTTGGTTTGGTCAGACGTTTTCAGCCCGGCAGAAACTGGACAAGCTCTATGATGGTACCAGCTTTGAAACCATACCCCTAGGAAGGAAAATTCTCCTGCAAACTAAAAGATGAGTTGGTTTCGTCTGTGCAATTTCTGGATGTGGGGGAGAACAGTCCCTGGAATTGAAGTGTTGAAATACCCAGCGTGAGGAGGTATTGTCTTTTGACTTCCTGATTTTTTTAAAAAAAGAACTCGCTGTCAGTGAAGGAAAGACACTTCTTAGTCACTTGGGCAGTGCTAGTAGGGATTTGAAAAGTCGATTGGATATTTTCCCCCAAGTTAGTCCGACGAGATAGATCTGTTTATAAACCCAGAAGAGTATTTCGTACTTGCCTGTTTGGTTTTTCCCTCGACGCCTCGGGTCTTGAAGGGCTGGGCTCTGTCCTGGGGCTCCTTGCCCGGGGTGTCTGGGCCAGTTCCAGCCTCCGCCTGCCCTCTTGAGTAATCTGCCGTCCCTCCTTCTGCATTTCCAAAACGAAAGCACACAAACCCATTGTATTTGTAAGTGTGTGACCCATTCTCTTCGAGATGACTCAGCACGTGTCATTGGATTACACAGCACATGGGATTTCCAGATTATGTTGGAAAAGTGTAATCTTTCTTCACATTTTTTCCTTAACGACTTGGGCAGTAGTGACTCAGGGTCTTCTCTGTTACTCAGGGACGAGTCCTACACTAAAGGCTATTTTGTTGACAAACCCGGGGCTGAGAACTGGGCCTTGTGGGGTTTCATCTCTGTGCACCCCTGCTCTCCCTTCCCCTGAACGGGAGACAGCTTTAACTTTACGTCTGTGTCCTTTGGAAATCCTTCACCACCGGTGATTGTGGGCCAGGGGAAGGGAGGTTCTTTTTAATATGCTTTACTTTGATAAAAATGAACCTTAAGGAGCTTTCTCACATGTTTTACTGTCTTCTGAACCATTGGAGTGGATGAGGAAAAACGCCTAGTTTCAGTAGAAGTGTTTCATTGTGAACATTTCAAAAGCAGCGTGTCCGCAGATATTTTATGTCCTGGTTTGGTTTTCGGTGTTTGTTCAGCCATTGGTCTTTCATTTTAAACACGGTGACCTCAAATGGCTGTGCCAAAGGTAGTTTTTCTCCTGCCTGAGGCCTGACTGGATTTCTCTCCGATGATGTCACAGAAGGGCCAGGTGTTTGGGCCAGTTGGGCTCTGAGACCCATCCCAGCACTGTTCCGGGATTCTGGTGTTTTTAGGATTGTTTGCTTACTTTATTAATTTAAGTGGAGGAGGCCAATGAAAATGAACTCCAGGTTGTCCCGAATGTGCAAGGGCGATTTAATGACCCGGAGTGACAGGGACTCCTTTTGGTCCCATGGGCCGTCCTAGAAAGCTGCTCGAGTCCTGCCGGTCCCTCGCAGGGGCGGCTTCACCATGGCCAGTGTGGTCAGGGTGCAGTGGTCCGCTTGCCCAAGGACCACTTGGAAAACAGGTTGTTAAGTAAGTAAACATTACATTTCCCTCTTTTTTCCGCCCATTGTTGCAGCGCCAGCCAGCCTTCGACACCCTGGATGGGTCCCTGTTTGCCATCTTCCCCTCCCTGAACGAAAAGCAAGCGCTCCAAGAAGTGCCCACGGGCTTGGACTCCATCTCCCATGGTAATGTGTTACCCGGGTGGACACGTTGCACGTAATTGCCCAGAGCGGCTCCCTTAATAAAGAGATGACAGTTGATGAGCCAGGAGTGTCGGTGTCTTGGATCTTTGGTGTGAAAAGCCCGAAGGAGGCCCTGGACCTGAGATGAGAGTTTTCCTCTCCAATGGGTGTGAGGATTCTGATGTCTTCCCTGCCGGACGCTCCCCAGGGGGGCTGGTGTCCTGCTGCGGGCACCCTGCCGCGGACCCTGAGGTTCACACCAGGGTGTCTTCAGCCCACAGCTCCCAGGTTCACTCAGCAGAGCAGCAAACGTGGCACGTTGAAATGCACCCCAACTCTTTGTATCCTGGGTTCACAGATCACCCCCTGGAGGTTGGGGGCCATAAAGGACGCCTGCTAATCGTTCCCCATCTGTTTCTACTTCTGTAGTTCCTCGTGTCATGTTCATCCTTCAGAAGGGGCTGGCACGTCGAGGCACGCCTCTGCAGTTGCCATGAGAGAGTTATTAGTTGGAGGCATTCCAGAGGTTACTTTGTCATATGAAGTAGGTGCTGGAAAACACAGTCCAGAAAATTAATTAAAACACATGTGCTTGCGTCAGCGTGCCATCATGTGACAGTCATTTATCATTCTTGAAATTGCTGAGGCAGCCCAGAGAAGACTGCTTCCCAGTAAAAACTGGAAGTGTGCCAAGCTCACGGGCACGGGGGCCTGTGTGTTTGTAGGAGGCTCCGAGTCTCTGCCTGCTGCTTAGTGTAATGGAATTGACTTCCAAATGATGCATTTACAGTCCCTGAATCCTTTGAGCCAAAAATCGTGTGTTTGCTTTCATTGTCTAAAATTATCAAATGGCTTTCACTAGGCATTTTACCCAGGCCTAACAGTGTAGATTGTCTTTAAGCAGTGAAGTTATGAGATGTCTGATATTTTTTCAATTTTCGTCCAAAAGTATTTTGCTAATATTCATGAACCCCTTTAAGGAATTATGTCAAGGTTTGAGATCAGGATCGCTCTTTTCTGAGAAGTAAGATTTCTCCCTGCGACCTTGCCAGCTGTGGAACCCTAATGTCGCCCTGGGGTTTCTTTCCAGATGCGGCCAACTGTGAACTGCCTCTGCTCACGCCCTGCAGCAAGGCCGTGATGAGTCAGGCCTTGAAAGCTACCTTCAGCGGCTTCAAAAAGGAGCAGCGGCGGCTTGGCATCCCCAAGAGTAAGTGCCTCTTGCCAGGGCTGCTTTCCAGAATCTGCTCTGGACTGGACAGATGGAGCTGACCACTGTTCCTTGAGATGGGTTATTATTTTTTGAGCTTTTGGGTAATGCATCTTGCAAAGAGGGGCAGAGATGGGGTTCACCTGAGCTAGTTTTGATTTCAATCCAGTCAGCCCAGGGCTTCAGCCAGCACTGATGTTCCCATGTTAGAATGTACCCGGGGTTCTCACTCATGCCCTTGGCCTTTGGTGCACGTGTGCACTTGGCGGGGGAATCAGCAGTGACTCCTGCGGTTTTACTGCTTCTGTCCATTCATTCCTTCCGTGTTCTGTCTTTTCTTCCCTCCCCATAGGCCCCTGGCTGTGGACGGAGCAACAGGTCTGCCAGTGGCTTCTCTGGGCGACCAATGAGTTCAGCCTGGTGAACGTAAACCTCCAGAGGTTCGGCATGAACGGCCAGGTGTTGTGTAACCTGGGCAAGGAGCGTTTTCTGGAGCTGGCCCCGGACTTTGTGGGCGACATTCTGTGGGAGCACCTGGAACAGATGATCAAAGGTACCAGCCATGGGAAGGAAGATCATACAGCCATAGGGTCGAAGGTTCAGATGATGGAAATGGCCTGAAAATGCCACGGGCGAGGGTCAGATGTGTGGCAGTAGATTCGAATCCACCTCAGTGCTCATGTAAGGCATCAAGTGTAGCCGAGAGGCAGTCGCCTTAGTCACTGACTTGTTCGCTGTTGCTGGACAGCGTTTGTCAGAGGGATGACGTGTCGGCTTAGATACGGAGACTTTCAAAGAATTCCCCTGGTGCGTGGCTCCCCTTCCAGAACCAAAAGAAATGAGCCAGCTTCCACGGAAGGGAGCCTTTATTCAGACAAACTCTGTGAATTCTACAGTACATTTTCCTAAGTCCAAACGGATTCCAACAAATACAATTTTTTTTTTGGTTTTAGGTTTCTAAACAAATGTAGAAGTAACTGATAGGTTTTTCCACACTGATCTATTATACAAAAACTGGCCACTGAACAAAGAACTCTTATCATATAGAGAGGAAGTCTCGATTCAGACCCTATAAGAGCGTGGAGACCATTGTAAAAAAGACAGTTAAAAAAGAAAAATAAATGTTTAGTGAGGGATCACAGAAGTGAAAACTTGAAGAAAATGAGCCCCTTTGTAGGGTTCAGGCAAAAAGGCCTCATCTCAGTGAACACTGAGCTGCAACATCTGTTGTGGACTCAGAATTTTAAAAACACCTCAGGAGTCAACCGCCAGCTCTCTTTGGTTATGGCTTCTGAGGGCCAGGGAAACTTGTTTTTAATGACCCCCAAATGCTCCTTGAACTTGGACACGTCTGGCCCGACAAGGCTCAGGGGAGGATCTGTTTGTAGCAAGCGGGACCTGTTTTGCCATTCCTCGGGTGTGAGTCTGGGACTGGGTGTGCGGGGGGGGGGGGGGTTGGTTCCCTGTGTTTGCAGGGGGCAGACACACACAGCCACACACCTCTCCCCTTTCCAGGTTCCGAGGCACGGTGTCCCCCTGTGGCCCACTTTTCGTGGTGGGGGGCATCTCTCAGAAGGAGGTGGGGAGGGAGTCCGTGCAACTCACCTGCTGTCCCCAGCCCCTGCCTGGGGCAGGTGACACCCTGCCAGCATTTCACCTTCCCTGGCACGTCTGGGTCCTTCAGATGGTGCAGTAGAAAGTTTACCTTCGCCTGTGACAGCATTCATGTTGGAGAACTTCCTCTATTTGTCAAAAAAATGCATTGCTGTCTCATGTTTTTTAATGGACAGGATGGCTTGGAATGCTGTCAGATTAAACGTGAACCACTACCTGCGTCGAGTTTTCTGAAATAACCATACGCAGTAATTCGGTCACTTTTGTCCTTGTGTTGTTTTGTTCCTGATTTGCAATCTTACTCTCTCCGGTTCCTTAGAAAACCAGGAAAAGGCAGAAGATCAGTACGAAGAGGAGTCCCACCTCAACTCCGTTCCTCATTGGATCAACAGCAATTCATTAGGTCAGTCTGGGCTCTGCCCCCAAGATCTTGGTTTTAGGTCGTCCTGTTCACGAGTGGCCCAAAGGCACCGTCTAGGCCTGCACTGACCTGGGTGGTGGCCTCGAGTGGCTGTCAAGCTGCTGGGGCATGAGATGTGGCGGGTCTGAGTTGAGATGAGTGGGGCGAACATATGCACACCAGATCTGGAAGCCTCATCATGAGATGAAAGAATGTAAAACAGCGGCTCCTTCCTAATTTTAAAATTATTGTGATTACCTGCTCAAATGATCACTGATATCGTAGGTCAAGTAAAATTTTCAAGTTTCCCATTTCTTTTTACTTCTTAAGTGGGGCTACTAGAAAATCGACCATTGCCTAGTGGCCAGCACTGGTCCAGGCCACACACAGAGGGAGGGGCAGGATATAGTGAGTTGATGGCTGGGGTGAGTCTGGTACAGGGGTGAGAGGTGTCGGCACAGGCAGCGGGTGGTTAGCGAGACCACGTGTGCTCTGAAGTTCAGGGTTGAAAAAGGTGTCATCAGGTTCTCCCTCTGGTTGCTGACATGGTGATGAGCGTAGGTTACGGGCAGCCCCCCCCCCTCAGCCAGCTGGGGGACAGGGGACTGGATATGCCACTTAGAAGTTACGTACAGGGGCATATCACTTAGTCTGTCTGAGCCTCGGTGGTACTGGAAGCCAAAAGCGCCAGTGACCCCTGTGGTTCTGAGGGAAGCGTGAAAGCACTTGGTGAGTGAGAGGCGTAGCAGCATGAACACAGGGGTGTGGCACCCTGGGCCAGAGGCAGCAGGCACTTTGGAAAAGGGCCTGTAAGGCTGAGAAGATGAATGGTTTGAAAAGGGAGGACTTTGTGGAAAACCCACCCATCAAAACCCACGTGTCCACTGAGGGCTGCCAAAGGCTGGGGCCTGCAGAACCACTCAAGTTCCATTTGGTGAGAGGTGTAGAGGGTCCTGCGGTCACCTAATGGCTCCACTGTCGCGTGACTCTGTTCCAGGGTTTGGCGTGGAGCAGACGCCGTATGGAATGCAGACGCAGAACTTCCCCAAAGGTGGGCTCCTGGACAACGTGTGTCCATCCACAGCGGCGCCCGGTGGCCTGAGTGCCGAGCAGGAGTTTCAGATGTTCCCCAAGTCGCGGCTCAACGCTGTCGGCGTCAGCTACTGCCCCGTCAGTCAGGACTTCGCGGGCCACGGCCTGAGCCTGATCCCCAACGGTTCCGGTAAGAAGGGGCTCCCAGCCCATCCCTTCAGCAGGCTCTGGGTCCAAACCTGGAAGCCAAGGTCAGACAGTGACACGGGCTTCTCCATCTGCCATCCTGTGTTCAGCTGTTGGAAGTCAAGGACTCGTCCTTCAAAGGGACGTTCAGTCACTGCCACAGACGCCTGACTCACTCCGCAGGCGTGTCCCCCGTGGGTTTCAGGCTGTGGGCCGGGAGGGCATTGGGTGGACGAGATGCCTGCTGTACTGAATAGATCCCTCCGCCCGATGCGATATTTGGGGGACGGCGTAGGAATCTAACATTCCTTTTACAGAGATGTATGTGCGCGGTGCGCGGGCTCCGGGCACGCAGCTGGTTGGGTTTTTCCAAGCGTGCAGCTGTGTAACAGCCGCCCGGGTGCAGTCAGTATGCTCCCCACCCCAAGTGGAAATGATCATCATCTTTTTTCCTGGTTTTGAACTTGATATAAGTGGAGTCGTGCTGTATGTTGTCTTCCGTGTCTGTCGCTCATCGTTCCGTCTGAGGCCCATCCATGGTGTTGGATACAGCAGCCCATGTCCTTTGTGGCTGCAATTTCGGACTCCAGCCAACGAGGCTGCGCTCTCGATTGTTCGATTCGATTGTTGGTGGGAGGTGTGGTTGTACTGCGTACTTCTAAGGAGCAAGCCCATCGGTTTAAGAGCATTGGGGCGTCTGAACGATTCTTCACCAGCAGGGAACGTGGTCGTGGGGAGGGGCGGCAGTCAGTGATGCTGCCGTTGGAGCGGGAGAGCCGCAGTGTCTCCTCAGCAGTGCGGCTGGGCCCGTCGTTGAGTGTTGCCCCCTTGTCTCCACCAGGGAAGGCCAGAGACCCAGATGCCCCAGAGAATGGCGGGGACGGCAGCTTCGAGAGCTCGGACTCGCTGCTGCAGTCTTGGAACAGTCAGTCGTCACTGCTGGAGCAGAGGGTGCCTTCCTTCGAGAGCTGTGAGGACGACTGCAGCCAGGCCCTGGGCCTCGGCAAGCCAAGCATGTCTTTCAAGGATTACATCCAGGAGAGGAGCGACCCGGTGGAGCAGGGCAAACCAGTCATACCTGCGGCCGTGCTGGCCGGCTTCACAGGTGAGGGAGTGTGCCGTGCTGGGAGTCCGGTCCCCGCCCCGCCCTGCCCAGCACAGCCATGTTTACCGAGGGTGTTTCTGGTCAGAGCTCATTGTCTCTGCACCCCGCATTTGACCCACAGAGTATAATCCCGACTCCAGACAAGCTGTGTCTGAACTCTAAGGAGGCCGGCCTTGTGGGGACACCGTGTACTCAGCCCAGTGGTGTGGTTGGAGACCCGGCTGCTCCCACCACCTGCGCTCAGCCATTCAGAGAGGAGGGGACGGGGCCGGTGGAGGCATTAGCTCTGACTCACCCAGGCCAGGAATGTCAAAGAATGTAAACTGGCTCAGGGAGGGGCAGCCAGACGGCCTTAAATAACACGGAACTGTTCACCTTTCCTTGCTCCTAAAACCCATTTTGTTTGCAAGGTTTGGGCAAGAGCTATTCTAGGTAAGAGTCAAATATTAAAGCTGTTTTTAGAAACAAATATTTCCAGCACTTGAGCAAAAATAGAGATTTTTTTTCAACTGCTTCGCGTGTCCTTAAATGAGCTATTTTGACTATATGTAGAGCCACGGGGGATTTAAGAAATACCTCCTCACAGGAATCTCATAGGTTAAAATAAGAACAGGTAGGCACCATCCATTTCTTGCTGTTGTGTAAAACAAAGCCGTGGAAACGTGTTAAAAATACTTAAAGCGTGAGTGAGAAGTGGTGTAGGTTTCACCCCTGGGTGGTCAGGGCCGGAGAGGAAAATAAACAGCCATGGGGTTGGTGGTTTCCATCTCAGCGTTGGTCACCTGCCCCCTCGGTGTGGGCAGCCAGGCATGTTGTTGGTGGGACAGCCCACCGTGGGCGGGGCGTTGACCCACTTTACAGATGGGGAAATGTGCTCAGGTGACACAGCTGCCTGGTGACACAGGCAGCCAGTTCTGTCTGGTTCCAGAGCTCCTGGAGCTTCACAGCCCAGCCTGCCTGCCGATGACCTTCGTGTCTTGGGGGACAGGTCCTTGGTGGGCGTGTGATCCAGGGTGGCACCAGGCTTCTGAGCTGTGTCTTAGACCTTGTATTTTGAAGGTGCTTCTTTACAAGGCACTGGTTCTAAATACTAATGAGGAAAAGGCCCATTGAAGGCAGTTTGCAAAGCACAAGCCCCGGCAACACAGTTGGTGAGGCCGTGGATGCCACCCCAAATGCCCAGGTGGCTCTGGACACATCCGAGTCCTGGATTAAGCCCTTTAGCCACCGTCATGTGGCCAGAAAGCTACAGCGCAGGATTCCACGAATAACGCGCTTTTCTGTGGTGCAGTGCCCCGCCTTCAACCGCCCGTCCTGACCCAGCATTTGTAGAAACACATACCCCACAAGAAGAGACAGTGACGAGGGACGATGAATTTTGAGGCCGAGAGTTGGTAGCCTGGGGTTTTTTCCCAGATAAACCAAGCCCAGCATTCAGGGGCCCACTGACCTCCTTTCTGGGAGCAGGAGACATGGAGGAAGACCCCTGTTTGGTGTCCAGCCTCATCACAGCAGCCTTCAGGACTGTCACCAGCACCGGGGTGGCCCTTCCCACTGGCACCCAGAAAGGGGGCACGAGTTCCCCAGCCTGTGTGTTTCGCTAGGGTGGCTGAAGCCTTGCCGTGTTCTGAGTCTATAAAAACCTGTAACCCGGGCCTCTCCCCCAGGAAGCGGGCCCATCCAGCTGTGGCAGTTTCTCCTGGAGCTGCTCTCTGACAAGTCCTGCCAGTCGTTCATCAGCTGGACCGGCGATGGATGGGAGTTTAAGCTCGCTGACCCCGATGAGGTATGGCCAGAGCCCGGGAGATCGCAGGACTCCCCCCCCCTATTTTCATCCCTTTGGTTTGAAAATTTGGTTCCCTGGGACAAAGGGAAGCTCTCCTGATGACGGGGGAACCCAAGTGCGGCCCTGGCCCCTGGGACAGGTGCCGTGTCTCCGGGCCAATGGTCGGGTGTCGGCCAGAGTTCACCATCTTGCCTTTGTGGTTGAATAAAAGGGCGCAAGCAGTAAGCTGAGGCTCTCTCCTGACCGTGCGAAAAACGCCTTGGGAAACTTGCTTCCTCCTGTTGGGGGAAGCGAGCCTCGTACCCCGAGGCATGCACCCTGGCTGGGCTTTTCTGTGCCCCTCAGCTGAGCTCAGCCAAGCTGCCCCAGTGCCCAGTGGAGGAGAAAGCCAGGGGCAGGTCCAGTCCTGCCCATCGGGACTGTATTGAAGAAGCCCTGGGTCTCTGGTCCAGTGCAGTCTGTCCCCTCCTGCTCCTGTCCCCCTTTGGAGGCAGAAGCATTGAGGATGGGGTAATGTCATATGGCTCGAACCCCACTCAGCAGTTGGCCATGTGTGGCACTCAGAACCCAGGAGGTAGGGGGAGGGGACATAGCTCTTCCCTGGTCTCAGAACCCTCCATTTGGGACTCTCGGCTTCCAGGAGGTTTTGTTGAGGGAGAGGCTTGGAGAGTCCTGTGTCAGATAGTGCTGTGGGTGGGGCACCGCACTCCGCCCCTCCCTCTGTCCTCGGAGAGCCAGCCGAGGGACACAGTGCCCTGGCATACTCTTCTCTCTGAAAACAGCTGGCACCTTCAGAGTCCTTTAGTGGGCAAGTTCCCCCCATGAGCATGCATCAGGGGGAGGTCATTCACGTTTTCTTAATTGCCCAATGGAATTGAACTTGTCTCCATCCACGTCCACCGCAGGTGGCCCGCCGGTGGGGAAAGAGGAAAAACAAGCCCAAGATGAACTATGAGAAGCTGAGCCGGGGTCTGCGCTATTACTACGACAAGAACATCATCCACAAGACGTCGGGGAAGCGCTACGTGTACCGCTTTGTGTGCGACCTGCAGAACCTGCTGGGCTTCACGCCCGAGGAGCTGCACGCCATCCTGGGCGTCCAGCCGGACACGGAGGACTGAGGCCCGGGGGCGCTGCCCACGGGGTCATCCTGACCGACTGTCCCCGGGCCCCTGCCAGGCCGATTGAACACTCCAGGGAAGTCGCCGAGAAGCAGTGGCCTTACTTCGTCGGAAACCGCAGCTCTTCGTCCAAAGCAGCCCGGTGTGTCGCTTCCGAAGCCTGCGGACAAGGAAACGCTATTTATGATGCAGTTGCGTGACCGTGGCCCCGCGGGGGCGCGCCCCGAGCGGGCTGGGCGGCCCTGCTGCTCAGGCTAGGCTGTCGGACATTCTCCGAGGAGTGAACACGTCGTGGACACACACATTTTTAAATTTTCTTTGGCCTTTGGCAACCAGGAATCACAGAAGCAAAAGCAGCCTCTGTTTCAGAGGCAGGAGGGGCCAGGAAGCATTGTGCCATTTCAGAAGTTGGTTTGTATATATGACTGTAATCTTCTCATTGTTATCAGAATCCTCTTAACAGTTCTATTTAACAGAAATTGTATATTGTAATTTAAAATAATTATATTACTGTATGTGAAGTAAGAATGCAACGTTTATTCCATTTTTCAAGAGCACATACGGCATTTTGCATTGAATCTGCCACAGCAGGCTAAGAGAATTTGTAAGATGTGTATTCTTTACATTTACTTTGTCTACAGGAGGAAGGTCTAAGAGGGTTAATTGGGGCGGGGGGGTTGTTTGTTTATTTTGTTTTGTTTTGCCCGGGTTGTATCTGGCAAGGACTTTGTACATTTGGGAGTTTTTATAAGAAACTTAATGTTATTATCTGGGGGCACATCTGGCCTCTGGTTTCTCCTTTAATTGTAATGTAAAAGCTATAAAGCAGTATTTTTCTTGACAAAATGGCATATGTTTTCCATTTCTATGCCTTTACTCAGTGGATGCACAGAGGTTTATTTCTCGATCCTACTGTGTCTCCCCCACAACTGACCTCCCTGACCAGCCATGCCCACCCTGTGCCCTGCTCCCAAGCCACAGATGATGCTGGAGGGGTAAAATAAGAAAACTAATTTTGGAAACATGCGACTCCTTTTCAGAGATCAGGAGGGATTTACGTAGCAGCTATTTTTACTGTAAAAGTAACTCACTGGGGAAAAAAATGTAAGAATGCTTCATTCTCTGCCTGAGCTCCACATAAAGTCCAACACTGCAGGGCTGAAGGTCTGGCGGGGAGGGGAAGCTGTGTGAACACTTCCAGGCGTGGCCGAAGCACACCGTCCCACCCGAGTCCTGGGTGGTCCGGAGACCACGCTGCTGCTCTCTGCCCAGCAACCACGGCAGCGTAGTTTTGCTCTTTTCTTACATTTTGGATGCAGAATGGCCAGAGACGCAGGGAGTAAGTAAGCATGGAGGGAGAGGATGCTTTGAACTTCTTTGCATGAGGAAGACCTTCTGAGCCGTGGAGGCTGTTTCTGAGATGCCCCTGGGTCAGCGTGTATTCCTGGCCTTAGTGACCGATCCAGCCCCGGGGATTGGCAAGTGAGACAGGTGGCCCTGAGCAGTGTGAGAGGACACCTGGACCGGTCCGTGTGCTGAGACCTCGTGTTGGCGAGAGGGGAGCCAAGAAGGGCAGCGCTGCCTTCAGAACCACATGAGGCAGCTCCCGGTGTCTTGAAACAGGACATTTCTCAGGCAGGGCCTCGGATGTCTGTCTGTCACATCAGCAGACACGTGACTGGGAACACACTGCTGCCAACCCAAATCTCAGCTGCCACTCATTTGGTTTGGGGGCAAACCTCACAAAACCAATGTTTAACTTCTTTTACTGACCAAGTTGGCAATGTCATGCGACCTAAGAGTGACGAGAACTGAAATCCCTTATAAACCTCTGGCATGGTAATGGACAGAAGTTAAGTAGGAAAATTTTGTAATTTGGCCATTTTTCCCAAATAATAAAAGTATTTTGTTTATATAAACTCCTCGTAAGAGTCATTCTTTGTCTCCACCCCGACATGGAGCAGGGAGGGAGGGCACTGAGCCCAGGGCCACCACGTCCCTCGGCTGTCAGCCCTGAGTCACGTCTCTGTTTAACCGATTTTATGCACAGCCGCCTAGTAAATTGTGACCAAGCTGGAGCCAACTGTGTGCCCTGCCTCAAGGAATTCCCCCAAAGTGTTCCTGACCCCCGAAAGTTCTTTTAAGAAGCCTTTGGAATAGGAAGGTTCAGGTTCTGTCTGCTGGGGTCGGAGAGGTAGCCGACCTACAGAAGAGGTTTGGGGATGTTTGCATCTAAGAGCATGATGCTTTGAGTGAGGTTCAAGGACATTGGCAATCAAGGCCGAGACTCTCCTGGACTCCTGACCTGCTGACACACCTTAACCAAACAGAAGCGTGGGGGGCCCAGGACACCCACCCTCACGCTCCTCCTCCAGGTCCAGGCTCCTTTCCACTCTGCAGGAGTGAGGAACGCCCCAGAACTCCGACGGTTCTCACTGGTCGCTCCAAGTTCACTTCAGGGCCCAGTTGGCAGTTCGAACTTGGTCGTGATGGGAGTATTTATACCACAAAATCATCAAACAGTACAATTGAGAGGGGTGCCCCCCCCCCGGCTCCATCGCAGGGGCTGGTTGTTAAACATTGACCAGCACACCACTCGCTGGTCAGCAGTGTTTACCACATTAGAAATTCTCACACTTCAAAATGATTCATTTTTAAAATAACATGAACGTTTTTATGAGAAATAACTTTTTCTAAGAAGGCGAGAATGGCCTTTTACAGGTTGCCCATCTGTTTGATGTTGGGTTTCATAGAAGGGGCCTGGATTCTCACATTGCTGCCTTCAGATCTTGTGATACGTTTGGAAGAAACCCAGGCCTCCCAGAGATTCGTAGTAACTTGGAAGAGGGAGGGGAAGGTAGTAACTTCCAGATAACTGTGGGTATTGCTTTATACCACACCTGAACTGACAAATGGCTTAAAGGTTAATTGCCTTTGGAACATGAAACCATACCTGTAAACTCCCCTATGGTTACAGTAAATCCCACTGCTCTGTCTTGCACTTTGAATAGATTTCTACCCCAGTGGGGTTTTGTGACACTGTGCATTAGTCACATGGAAAGTGTTGCTTCAGTATGTCGGCACATTTCAATACACAACACCACGCAATGGCTACTACCAGTTTCATCAGCAAAGCACTGGGAAGCTATCAAGCTCACAGGGGCAGATACAAATTCCCCAAAATTCAAAATTTTACTCGGAGGCTCAAATTTTATCGGCAAAAAACACCAAGTTTTCTTTGAAGTGACAGCCCCATTTCATTTAGTACTTTTGAGGAAATACCTGTCAAGTACCCAAGTCTGAATAAACATAATTTGCCAAGTTGTTCTTTCCATAAAAACGATGTCCATGAATACAGTAGGTAATTCAGCTTACGACTCAAGTAAGTTTTTTTGAAGATAGTATAATATTTATTTTACATATCCAATTTAAAATATTAACTATAAAAACATTATTTCTAATTTTTTATTTTCCAGTGGGAGTTGACATGCGATGTTATCTTAGCTTCAGGTGTACAGCACAGTGGTTGGGTTGACAAACCTCACCCGGGGGTCTCCCAACGAGTTTGGTGCCCACCTGACACCGTGCAGGGTGATAATATTACTGATGATTCTCTCTCTCTAGCCACAGAAGTTCCTTATGTGCCCTTTTCACTTTATTACCCAGAAATGAAAAAGGTGTGTATTCACTAAGTCAGAAAAAGTTCATCTTCACCGCTCCACGTAGGACCTCTTCACCAGGGTTCTGGTATTGCCCCTGCAAGTTCAAGGTGGCGAAGACAGCAGCGACCGCTCTGGCACTACCCAGTGTCCACATCCTGGCAGTTTCTCCCGCCCTTGCTTCTTTCATGCCCATCAGTGCAAATGCCAGCACAGCAAAGGGCAAAAGTATCCCTGTTATCACAGAAATTGTTCTCAGCTTGAGGGTCCCCCTGAAAGGCTGGGGGCATCCCCCCGAAAGAATGCCCAGCTATCTGGGGACCTCGCTGGAGAATGTTCCAGAAAGAGAGAGCCAGGTGGGGGGGGGGACATTTTCCGTTTCCTCTCTCTCCCAGTGTCTCTGTTTCCAGTCTTTTCACAGCCAGTCAAGAAGTTGGTTTTTTTTTTAATTTACAGCAAAATCACTGTTTGATGTTCTGTGTGATAAATTTCATTGATGAAGGGGAAACTGGACTTTCTCAAAGTCTTCTTCCACCCTTTACTCTTTTATCTTCACTCCAAAATTTTTTAAGTTAGAATAAAAGGTATCTTTTACCACATTTTTAAAAAAACATCATTTTTCTTAACATAGCCCAGGATGAGGCCCACCCGGCCTGTCTTCCAGTTCTCCACATGGTGCGAAGGAAGCGAAATTGAGTTGCCGCCGGCTCTCCGCCCCCCCAAGTGCTGGTGCCCCCTCCTCCAGGGCCTGAGACCACCTGTGAATGGAGGGCGGGGGTGGGCTGCTCAGTTGTGTGTGTGAGGCACAGAAAGAAGGGACGGGGACAGGGTGAGGTAGTGGCCGGTCCCTCCCACTTTGGGAACATGGACGAGGTCGGCAGTGGGGCTTCTCTGTGCTTTGGAACCAGACCTTAGGTTATCACTGTCGTGCGCTGGGGTGTGACCTTGGGCACGTGACTTAAGGACTCCACGCCTCAGTCTCCCCTCCATACAGTGGGGTCACTGGGTAGCAGCGGGTGGATGAGTCTTAGGGGTCAGAGTGTGGGAGGCCGGTGGGCTGGGGGCTGCAGGGAATTCACAAGCCAAGCATCCCAGCACGGGGTCTGCTCCCAACAGTCATGGCTCCTTCACCAGAAGAAACCCAGGCGTGTGAAGCTGGCACTCGAGGCCACCAGGACTCCACCCCAGGTCCCCTGCTTCCCGACGTTGTTCTCTGGCCACGACAACCACGCCACGTTGCCTCTGTCATTGCCTCCACTGCCCAGGGGCTCCCCCATGCTTCCAGTTCCTCCTTCCACAGCCCGTGGTTTGACTTTTAAACTACCCACAACCTCCCACAAAGAGCTCACAGTCCTCCCAGGTGCAACAGGTGGTGGCAGCTGATGTTCTGTGCGATAAATTTCATTGATGAAGGGGAAACTGGACTTTCTCAAAGTCTTCTTCCACCCTTTACTCTTTTATCTTCACTCCAAAAATTTTTAAAGTTAGAATAAAAGCTGGTTTAGCCGGAGCAGATTCGAGGATCCCATCATCTGGGCCAGATGGTAATCTGTCAGGAGCAAAGCAGAAGGGTGTGGCTCGCAGCAGTGACGGGGGAACCCCTCCTGTGTGACTCTGCATAACTCCTGGGCAGGGTCGGAGCATGTGACGCCGCTTGGCGCCAAACGTCTGCGGAAGGCCATTTTTGGTCATAGCTGGTATGAGGACACCTTCGCAACTGGAACTGACATGGCCTTTGTCCACGTGTTATGAGTAACGGCCCCTCCTTGTCTCCCAAAGTCATGTTCAGATGGCAAAACAGCCCAAGATTGCCAAATCAGTCCCCGCCAGCTGTTTCTCTGGGTGGCTTCACACGCTGCATGCAGAAGCAGGGCTCGGCATGCTCGTGTGTGTTTGTGTGGCCCGGGGCCAGGCATGCTGATCCACGGGGCCCGAGGCCTGGCCGGCTGGACAATGGAGCTCGGGTGGCAGTGAGGGGGATGACAAGCAAAGGAAATCAGGTGTCAGCTGTGGTCCATCTCCATGTAAACCTGTGAGACACACCTTTGCCGTATGCTAACCAACTCCACCAAATTATACTTATCAAAATGCAAATATGTCATGACTAAGGGTGAAATATGGCAACATTTACAGGGCTCGCTTTCATCTGTCGCCGCACTGGGACCCTGGGAGCTCGGGTTCTCCACG